AATATATTTTTAAGAGATGACTCATTTCTACATGGACTCATAGAAACCGTATCATTGTTTTAAAGTACAACCAAATGCACATGCAATGTCTGGAGTTTGAATCGCTAGTTTAATACCAAAAATAAATAAGCACAACCAATATGTAAGTTTCTTTCTTTTAATAAGAGGTCGTATACTGGGAAAGGGGCTGGGTCGTGGTGATAGCACCCCCATACCTAGTTACCACGTTGTGGATCCCAATCTCATTGAACCGCCCACTAACACCTTTCCAACCCCACTAAAACCACCCATTAACACCTTCATAATCCCTTCGAAAAAAAAGGTAGGGCCTGTTTTCCGCACCAAATTATCCAGATAAAAAGTTAAAAAATAAGGTTGTTGTATCAGACCAAATTCATGAAAAAAATGACCAAAATAGCACTGAATTTTGTGAACAATTTTATCTTTCTCTTATTTTTAAGACGAGCTATTTCATTATGTCTGAAAAATTTAGAGGACAATGTATTGTCCACTAATACATTGGCATTTACAACTAGAAATGATTTTGGGGTGTCAGCACATGCATCTATTCACATAAGGCCTCCTTCAAAAATGTATATTAGAGATAGATCTTGGATCTAAAATTTCACAAGCTAGAGTTAAAGATGGTTTTCGTTTAAAGTTTCATAAGTTGATAACCTTAATCACCATGACTATAAATCCAAAAAAGAAAAAAATTGATTTTGAGCTTTAAAAATAGCCTATTTAAAACATTATTTTAGACCATTCCTTGTAACTCTTCTTACATCATTACATGTGCATTGTTTTGTGAGCATCAAAACCATGGATATATTAGAAAAAAAGGGAAAATTTTATATATGGTTGCAGGCTTAAACTTAGAAGTAAGTTGCACCTCAAAAATCATGTAGAAACGAGTGTTCTGAAGATCGAAAAGGTTCCAACTAATAATCTTGACTTCGATATATATGGACATAAACAAGAAAAAATTTCAAGTCTCAAAAGCAATCCATCTTATAACAAGCTGTTTGGACCATCTAATTTCAAGATTTTTTAGGTTGTATAAATAAATCTGCTTGATCAACACAGTTTTTTGTAATTTTAAATTTTTTAACTAGAGTTGAACATGGATTTTCAAGCCATCAAGGCTTTTGACACCATAACTATATCTTGTGGCAAAATTTAGACACGATACTTATACAATATAAAGTAGGCACCTTATACAAACCTCACCCTAAAAAAATTGCATATCAAGTGATTTAATCTATAGAGCTATAAATGAATTCTTAGAAAAAGGAAGGCATTTGAATGGGAGTGCACTTAAAACTTTCCCCACTTCGAAAACCCTGCTTCAATTGATAATTTGGTTTTAGTTTAGTCACACACTGCCCTATTTTCTTGCTTTAAAACCCCCCATGTCTCACCTTCTCCCCCCTGCTAAACTTTTCTTTTCCCTCTCTCTCTCTAGTATCTCATCATGTCAACATTCTCCATGTCTACAATTTCCCCCTTCTTACACAACCTGCATTTCCTCTCGCATGCTCCCTCAGGTGCAAAACCAGTGGTTGAAGAAGTGCAGAGGTGGGAAATGAAGAGATTTTGCTCTGCCTTTTTTCTTGTCCCCATTTGATGAATATTCATTTTGTTTAGTCCTAAGTTTTTTTCATGGAGAGTTTTTTTTTTTTGTGATTTTCCACCCTTTTGTGCCTGCATTTTCGCTAGGAATGGCATCAATTACTCAACTCAGTAAAGTTTTTTTTTTTTGTGATTTTCCACCCTTTTGTGCCTGCATTTTCACTAGGAATGGCATCAATTACTCAACTCAGTAAACCATATTGTGTTCATTTGCTTTTGCATTTTTGTTGGAATACTTCTCTTAAAATTTCAAAGATCAGATACACTGTTTTCCCTTTGTTATTTCCCTAGCATTAGATATTTCAATCTTCTTCATATTAAGCCGCGTTTTGAAGTGCTTTTTCATTTTATATGCAACCACTATAATGAACATTTTCCATTCATATACAATTCTCTCTCTCTCTCCTAAACTAAGGGTTCGAACACTTTATATGTAACCTTTTCTTTTACTTGCAGACTCTCTTAACAAAGGGTGGGTGGGTTTGAAGAGAGAGAGCAGATTGTTGGCCAGGGTATTTGAGGAGAGAGAGCAGACTGTTGGCCAGCTTTCGCACAAAAAGTGATGCAATTCCTTTGGCCTGGGATGTTTCAGTTAACAAGATGCCCCTCATTCAACAAGATGGCCCACACTCAAGGAATGAACGCCATGTGTTTGCCCTCTGCGGAATACCAGGCCGCCATGGCTACTATTGCCCTCTGCAGACTAAACGCCATGTGTTTGTCGCATACCAAGGCACCATGGCTACTCGGTATGCCTCATATACATGGGTGCTCATCCCTTGGGTGAGAGTAACCAAACCATCCGAGCCCAAAGACTTGCATCACTATTTGTGCCAAAACTGACCAACAATCTACCATCTCTCTCCTAAAATACGGGAGAGGCGAAATAAAATAGAGCTTCCTAAATAATATTGTTATGACATCAATTGAAGAAACTCGGTGAGTCCTCTGTTTTTTCGGGGGATGTTAACTCCTCTTATAAGTCTCATTAGGGAACCACTAGAAGATAGTCGGCGAGTTGTCTCCCTAGATATTTGATGTTCAACATTTCTCCTTTTCCAACAGTGGCGCAGATAACGCTAATAAATCCCAAATGATTAATCCCGATTATGGAGATTTCAGGCATCAAAAAATTTACAACACTAGTCCTAGAATCTCACCATGTGCATAGAACATTAGGGAGAGAGATAGAGAGAGAAAAGAGGGAGAGAGAGAGGCTGCAAAGGAACTCTGGTTATACAAAAGGTCATTCTCTGGTGTTTTCAGATATGCCCCCAACAAAACACTGTTTTTATCAGAACTCCGGAATTGCCCTCGGATTTGTTATAACCCCAAGTCTTTACACTATATTATGCCATTGATCTGCAGATTCTGGGCAATATTCCTAGAGGTGTTTTGGCACACTTTGGTGGTGATTTAGACTCTTTCTAGTTCAATATGTCACATTTTGAATGGGGTGCAGTTTATATAGAGCCTAGGCTCTAAACAATCAAATTGGAGCCTACCTTCAAACAGTATCGAGAAATGTGGTTTCAATATTGTAAATCTTTATGATAGACTTCAAATAAATTTTCATTTTTATTTATAAAGTTTAAAGCTTAAAAAATAGTAGAGATCGATAGATCTATGAAAACTTGAAAATCTTGAAAATTGACAGCCCAAAAATGCATTACAAAATACACTATTTCCAAAACTTGAAATCCATTTTTTTTTGGGTATCAAAACCACCTCTTCTAATGAAATTTTTGTGGTAGGCTCAAATTTGATTGTTTAGAGCCTCAGCTCTATATAAACTTTTCCCTTTTGAATGACCAACATAAGTCGCAGCCAGTTATGCAACAGTCCAAAGTATTAACAGCATTGCAAGTCTATCCATCCGCGAAGCAATTCCACATAGAGGCTTCACATGCTCCAAGAACAATCAAGACATGATAAAACTTTATTATGCTTTTATGGCCATAAGATTCTACATTTTCACCTTGTTTCCTTTGAAATTCATCATGTCTCTCGGACTCGGTGCCTAAAATTATGTAAACATACCAAAGAATTTCCTCACTAGACCATTGCACTCTTCACCCAAAATTATCAATCTTGCACAATATTCAAATACATTCCTTCCCCTTGACATTTCATGCATCCAAAACAGTCTCAAGCTTCCACCTCCTCCCATTAATTACTCTGCATCTACATTTTTTTTGTGCCTCCCACATTCCATAACGACTTGATTACTCAACCTCAACATCTTTAGATCACAAACCAATAGCTCCACCTCAAAAAAAGGAATACATGGGCTTCCCCTTTGGTACGCTTCTGTATGTATACGCGTGCATGGGTGTGTGTATGTATCCTCTAAAGATGCTTAAATAATCATACCTTCAGGGAAGACAGGTTATAAGGTTGTTTCCAATATGGTACGCATGTATCACGCCTAGTCAAGTCCTAAGTCCCAAGTTTTAGAACTTCGATCTAACCTCTCACCTTCCATCATTCTCCCTCTATAACCTCCTCATGTTCTCCCTCCGAGATCTATAACCAAACCAAAGAGCCGCCCCTTGACATATGTATAGTTACTAAAGAGTCGACAGGCCGTTGGCCGTTGATCCATGAGTATTAAGAAAATGTCACTTCACAAAAATGCATAATACAAGCACATAACCATCATGTCTTCCAAAGTTTAAGTCTCCACAAAAGGTCTTCTTTCAGAATCCCTTTTAACCATTTAAACCTCCCCTCCGTCAAACATTCCAATTTACTAAATTTAACTAAATGCAGTCATTCACATAATGAGATATGATTATGATGTATTCCGTGAAATATGATAGATTCTCAATCCTCTATCCTCTACACTCTCGAGAACAGCTTACCAGATTAAAGCCCACCACTCTTTTCACAGTGAAACTCGAAAGCCAAGTGAGGGCTGGTAAGTAATCTCCTATAGGTTATTTGCAAATATAAAGAAACTACAAGTAAACTCGATTGACACAATTAATGAATTCCATAAATCTTGAACATCGAATGGATGTTCTAAAAGAACCTCAAACCAACAACCAAATTTATGTCGTTTGTTTTTTCGGAACACAGTATTCCACAGAACTGTCCGAAGGAACAAAAAAGTAAACAGATTTAGAGAATGGTATTCTCAATAACACACTAAAATTGGCTTAAAATAGAAAAACAAGTTAGGCCACCAAGCATATGTCACCAAACAAAATCGAGGAACTACAAGGACCAGGCAATCTTATTTTTTGACAGCTCATGTGCATGTGATTTGTTGGTATGAGTATTAAGTTCTCCAAATTACTACAAAAGACATGTTACAGCAACAAATAAAAACAACTGAAGAATTAACTTCTAAGAAGCAAACAAGATAAAACAAACTAGCAAGAAGAACCTTACTACAAAACAAAATTTAATACAACATAGCATAGCAAAAAAATTCATATGGAGATGACATTGTATATTTTCATAACATTCTGAAATCTGAAGTCCAGAATCCCAAGATGGTAAGATGGTTCAGCTTATATGGACAAAGTAACTAACAACACAGGACAGCATCAGCCAACAAACCACACTCTGGAGCTCTCAGCTACAGCCGACCATCACGTCCCAGTTTATAAATTGTTATCTAGGAAGATCCTAACAGCTACCCCTGTGGAAAACAATTGTATAGAAGACATTGCTTGCTAATGAAATTCACATCCTACACTGCAAGAAAAGTACACTAAAATCCAATGGACAATGGAATATGTAGCATATTGGGATCTTCAATGTACAATGAAAGAAGATAACAGAGAAAGCGGGACTCAGTAGAACAATACATGACCACAGTGGTGGGTCCCACCCTCTCTTTATCACTGTCCAATTCATTACACAGTGATGAGCCCAATGGACCATGGTTTCCAATAGTCCAGGAGATTTCAGTACACTTCACTACGTAGTAAATCAAAGCAGTTTTTTCACTTTGGGCCAACCTCAGGTTGCTAACGCAATGTCAATTTTCCGGGCAGTCAACGTCAAAGATACCACCAGCAAATTCGGTCCAATGACAGCATCATCTACGGGCCAAACAAATACCTTAACAAGCACACTCGGGCCCAATGACAGCATCATCTATGGGTCAAATACACGATCCCACCATCTCTCCGCCACCCCAACCAAAAACTAAGTCAATGATGAGCTTTGGTGCTGTTGAAGGCCCAAAAAGAGTACTATGCAATATGCAAATGGTTGAGATAATACAAGATCAAATGAAAACATTTACGCTTACCCATCAGAGAAGAACATCAGATTATTTCATAGCATCATCATCAAACCTGTATATGATCTTTGTATCTACATGTCCTTTTTGTATCTACATGGTGCCGAGCTATATATGATCAGCAAGGTCAGAAAATACTTTGGATGCTTATCTGACTCCTCCCGCAAGGAAGTCGACACAGCATCATCTACGACATCACGAGACCCATGAGAATATTGTCATTTGAAATCATCTCGCTCATCACAGCCACAATCATTCTTTTCACGACCATGGAACTAAAAAAGTGCACAACATACATCATGATCCAGATTCCTAATAACTAAATTAAAACAAGTAGCATTTCTTATACCAATCTAGGCAAATTTGAAGCTAACGAAGCAAACATCCCTAAATGGAAAAAGATAACCATCTGTCTCTCTCTCACACATGATCCACTTAAAGAAAAGGAAATAAAAAAAAAAAAAGGAAAATGTACCAGACTTAATAGGCATAAGTATTTCATAATAGAGATGCAAACTTACTGCTAGACCATGTGTCCCACCCACAACTAATTTCTCACACTTGATCAGCAAAATGTTCACTATCACCACCATCACCAACAGACTGCAATAGCACTACGAGTATGACACTGATACATTTTGACAATAAGATTATGGTCCAGAGAATAAAGAGCCAGGACATTGATACTTGACTTTAAGATTATGCTCTACCAAGCTCAGGTAGATACGGTCCGCCTTGATAATCGCAAAGGCAAAATGATCACAAAGTATCTGGACACAAGATAATGCATCTTCTCAATAACCCTAGAAAACAATGTAACATGGCATCAGTCATAGTAAACCACTTCTTATTAAAAAAAAAAGGCATCAGTCCACAAAATGTCAAATGTAATATTTGCCGTGATAACTCATAAAAAGCCATGCAGAACTAATGGTCACTAATTGTCACTTACGTCAGTTGAATCATTTGGAGAAGGGCTTCGAGAATCTGCAGGCCTTCTCCGAGGGGATAAACTCGCCAACGAAGGAGACCACTCAGGGCTTCGCTTGCGTGGACTCTCATTCCGATCAGAAGGACTCCTGCTAAGAGAGCGACTCTTTCGAGGGCTCAAACTACGACGAGCAGGAGAAGCACTGAATAATAAACAGTATCACGTAAATGTATGTACATATACACATAGAGATGCATGTATGTATGGATGGATGGATACATGCATCTATGTATGTATGTGTGTAAACATACGTCCTTATGCATGCATGTGTATGTATGAACGTATGCATGCAAGTATGTCTGTATTTATGTGTCTGGGTGCGTAGGTGTGCGTGAAGTGAATGTTGATTCATAGACAATGTAATGGAATATTCTCTTAGAGGATATTTGAAATATTGAAACCAAGAACCCCCTAAGAGATAGAGAAAGAAGGAATTGATCGTTGATAGTTTACCTGTCATATGAGCGGCTTCTACTCCTTGGGTTATCATACTCCCTACCTCTACCACGCCCATGATTGTAATCAGGGCTCAAACTGCGGCTTCTGCTGCGGTAGCGATAGTCTCTCTCCTTTCCACGATACCTGTCACGATCATAATACCTTTCACGGCTACGGCTTCTCCTCCTGTAATCTCTATCATAGTCATCACGATACCTGAACATGGACAATTATCAATGCGAAGGCGTCTAGCATAAATAACTGCCCAACAAAGAACCAGCAGCCAAACTTGGGACCCATCAGAATGTCATAAAGAACATATAGAAAAGTTATCACAAAGCATGGAGAACTTATTTTGATTAAAAAATAAATAAGAATTCCATGTGAACATAACTTAGAAACTTAAAAAATGATAGTGGGATGCCAACTTTGATGGTAAAATTCATGGAAACTACTTACCTGCGCCTCGGGCTGTAGCTTCTCGATCGGCCCCTAGACTTTGGAAATACCTCTACAATTCTTCCCTTATGACTGTAAGGCCCAGGGGGTGAATGGGAGAGAGTCAAAGAGATAGATTACACAATGGCCAACAAAACTACATATACAGAGAGATATTAAGGCTTCAAAGAATGCCGATAAAGGATGACTAAACCACTTAACATCTCCAATTTCACTATAACCAGTGACTGTACCATAAGAAAATCCAAAAATCATTTCACAGTACTACTTTACAAGAGAGAAAAATCCAAAACAGTGTTGCACAATAAGTGATATCAGCACACTAACTGCTTGCGTTCAATCATAATCCATTGCACAAGGGATGGAGGATTAAAAACACTTCAATATATTTTCTTGTGAAGAAAACATCCCATAACACTTCCCCAACAGTATGCTTGAGGATAAATAAGGGAAAAAAAATTTATAAGCTCGAATACTATAGTCCACGAGTTAGGTTTTACAACTCTAGATATTAGAATGCCCTAGACAGCCAATAGGTTTGCAAAAAATACTTTGGATCTAAAATGGTGTTGGTTATGGTGTCTAAATTACAATTTTGTGTTCCATAAAGGGCTTATTCAGCAAGACACTTTGTAAAACACAATGATCTTTTTTTCCTCAGTTGTAGAGTGCATGAATTATGTCTAAACAATCAATTTAGAAGTACATGCTTGCAAAATCGATTTTCTACTAACGACAACATTTTGCAAATGAAAACCATCATAACTGAAACTTCAAGCCAAAAAAAAAAAGTATATCATGTTAGGATACTTGTGTTTTTTCTAAGTACACCATTACCTCATTGCCATTCATGATTAATGCATTAACATGTTGTGGAATTACAATCCAATTAAACGTCCTGCCCTCATGCAAAGTTTGATACCCTCCCTGAATTCATGATTAATGCATTAACATGTCGTGGATTTACAATCCAATTAGCACAAGGCCCCTTTTCACTACAAACCTCATGCAAAGTTCAGTCCCCTACCCATATCCTACTCTACCCCTACGCTATTCTACCCTACCCAACCGCTCCCTCATCTAGCTTCAAATTGAAAGCATCCCTCACTCCTGTAGCTTCAAATTGAAAGCAAAGCATGAAACTAACTGTGTCACTATATTTAACCACTACCTCAGAATCCCCAAACACACATAAAAAGCATGAAAAGGAGATGTATCATACTAGGAACATAAAAAGCGAGTATCATATCTTCACAAATTACTGTACACATTACCCACGCCTCTAACCATACCCCACTTCTAGTGGATTTCATGAAAACTGTAGTCTGGAATAAGGTACTAAATGTGCAAGTCCACCTATTTTGAACCCTATTATCAATCAGAAATGGAGTCTCTTGAACCCTAATATCAATCAGAAACGGAGGTTTTATCTCGTAGAATTAAATCCCGTCCTGCTAATGGAAAATAGAGAGGGAAACAAAAGAAGACTTACATGCGTTCAGCATTGGGTCCATACTTTGCAAATTGCACCATGATATCCCTTCCATCCACATTTCTCCCTATAAAACCAGAGAAGACGGATAAGATGAAAGCAAGTAATTAAATATATGAAGAAAGAGATTGAGGACAGAGAATAAATGTACCATCGAGCCTCTCAACTGCCATTTGAGCCTCGTCCGCATACTTGTAACGAACAAACGCAAACCCTCGAGACTCTCCAGTCCTGCAAAAGCAAACCCAACACAACTATATTGCAAAAGATGGAAAGAGAGAGAAAGAAGGGTAGAGAGAGAGCAAGAGAAATAGAGAGAGAGGCTTGCCTCTTGTCCCTAGGAATGAAAATATCTACAACCTTCCCACAACGATCAAAGAGAGGGAAAAGATCATCAGCAGCGGTACCTGAAAGAGAAAGAGGTAAGAGAAACAGCGATAAAAGATGGAGAGGGAAAGAGAGAGATGAGTTAAAGAGAGATTACGGAATGTGATGTTGAGGACGAGGAGAGAGAAAGTGTCTCTGATATCAGGAGGACCCGATCTTCCAAAGTGCGACATGGCGATGAGATTGAAACGAGAACCCTGAAAATCCCAAACCCTACAACGCCCAAACTTTACTTTTCTCTCTCTACAAATCTCCCTCTTCCCACTTTTCTCACTTAGGTCTCGTGGAGTTCAGAAGAGAAAAGTACTTATATCCAAGCGGCGCGCAGAAATATTGTGCAAACAAAAAAAATTTATAATAATAACGTAAATAACTTTGGGTAAAGGTCACGTTTTTACCATGGAAAACAATCGAAGTTCACTTCAATAATTCATCATAGAATATTATTTTGATGTTGAAAAATCTTCTAATTTTTCAGTATTGAAATGTATAAAAATAAAAATAAAAAGAGATTTTGACGCTCAAAAATAATGTATCTTGCAATACATTATTTGAATAGTCTATTTTCAAGACTTCCTTATATTTATAGATCTATTTGAATTGAATAGTTTTTGGAGTTTAAAATTTTATGGCTGGAGATTAAAATACATTTCCAAACCATCATAAAAAAAAATTATACTAAAGTTGCATTTATGATAAATATTGGAGGTGACCTAATTTGATTGTTTAAAACTGCAACCTTATGTAAACCACATCTTTTTAATGAGTAAGCTAGATCTTGAAAAACCCTCAAGTTCCATGTGTGGGTTATAATAACCCAAAGCTAGGAAAGCCTAATCCAAATAACCTCCTTGATAATAAAAGATAGGTAAAGATGGGATTAGCTCATTAGCTCATATGAACATATGAGTCAAACGGTTCAGATTAAATCTGAGCCGATCTGACGATCACAGATATCCAATAGTGTTTAAATTTTAAATTTTTTTTTCTACAAATCCAAATCAATTGAAATTTTAGACATGCGTTTATAAAAAACAAGTGAATCTTCGAAAAATATCAAAAAAGTATTTTACATAAAACAAATTGACCAAAATACCTTGAAAAGTTTTGGGGAGTATTTTGGTCATTTTATTTTTTACGAATAATTTTTTTATATATTTTTTATTAGGTGCGTCTTGATGAGAAGAACACACACGTAAAATTTCAAGTGGTTTGGATTTATAAAAAAATAAATAAAATTCAAATATTATCGGACATCTGTGATCGTCAAATCGACTCAGATTCAATCTGGATCACTGGGTTCATATGTTTATATGAGCTAGTGGGCTAATCCCATATTTTCTCATAAAAGAAAGGGTGCAGTTTGTATAAAGCCAAGGATCTAGAGAATCAAATCAGAACATACCTTCAAATAGTATCGAGGAATGCTGAAAATATTTGTGATAGCCTTAAAATATATTTATATTTTTAATTATAACATTTGAAGCTTAAAAAATAATGTAGATCGAACAGATCTAAAAAAACTTGAAAATCGTGAAAATTGACAGTAAAAAAATGTAATACAAGATGCACTATTTAAAAAACTTGTAATCTATTTTTTCTCATGTCGATACTTTTTGATGTTGGATGATCAATTTGAGGACATTTGGGCATCAAAGTAACCTCTTATGGTGAAATTTTTGATGTCGGCTCTAATTTGATTATATAGAGCATAGGCTCAATATAACAAAAAGGTCTTGAATCCCACTCACAAAATCAATAAAATTACTGCCCTAATTGGATGGTGCATCAGTGATTATAAATCAGAGTTTGAAATGGCCTTATCTGAGATCGAGGGCCCAAATTCAAGATCGGTTAAGTTTGGATTAGTAAATATTTTTTTATTTACTGAGCTTGTAGTCACATGAAAAAAGCTTATATAAGCTGTCAACCTTACTGAAGTAAGCTGCAACTCTAAAATACTTTAGAAGAATGTTATGATGTTAGGAAATCTTCGAGTTGATTATGTTGATCTCGTGATGAATATAAGAATATGGGGAAAATTAGAATTTGTAGTCTTAAAAATAATGTACCTTGTAGTAAGCTATATGTACTGTCCATTTCTTTGATTTTTAAGTGTTCAAAGAAGGGACGAGCTATACCATTTTAAAATATTAATAACTAGGGAGAAAAATAGTACGGATGTTACTAACATTTATTTTTAAAATAAAATAGAGATAATTTGTTACAATAAAGATATTATTTTTACTTTTTTTAAGAGTTTAAAATCCTAATTTTTTTGGCAACCATAAAGTTCACTCACGCAGGGATAATCGATGTAAAGGTCTTTGAATGCTTGAAGTGTAATTTTCGATGAGTCATGAGATATGAGGTGAGGTTATACTTCAAACCATTTTCCTTTTTAAATATGGGGAAAATTAAGCCACGTTTATTTTAAGCGTAAATTTTCTTTAGTTTAAACTTTGATATTTTTAAACTTTGATATTTTTTCTTACGATCGTTTTGCCATGGTTTATTTTCAATGGTGAGTCAACAGTACATTATGCAGAACGACGACCTAGAAGATATTTGAAGCTTTTCATGGAATGCAGAAACATGGAATCAAACTCCATCAATTAAAAAACCAGTCTCTCTCTCTCTCTCTTCTCCGCCACTTTTTTCTCAGCGATGTTCTCTCAGATGAGACTTTCATCTTCCCTCTGCAAACATGTCAAGAAATGGACTTCGTTTATGGGGATGAGCAGAGCTTACACCACAGAGGGCTCTCGTCCCACCTTAGTCCACAAGCGCAGTCTCGATATCCTTCACGATCCATGGTTCAACAAGGTGTTAATGCTACTCTCTCTCTCTAAAACTAACTGCTAATCACTCCATCCCTTTCCACTTTTTGTTGAATCTCTTGTTAATTGTCCGCCTTGATCACTAGTTCAACGAGATATTAGCGCTTCTGCTGTTTTTCTCTCTTTATACAGTATTACTCTCTCTCTCTCTTCCACTTTTTTTTTGTTTAAAATTTCTGATAATGATAGCCATTTTGACTAGGGCCTAGAATTATGCATCTCATGATGATGTAAGCACTTGTTGTGATTTAGGGTATCTTCTTTTGAATTATAGCATATTCTTCATGGTCTCTCTGTATACTTCTGGTTATGTGACCGTTATTCTAGTAGTACTTTGCTTAGTGTATTCTTTTACTTAATTTTAATAATGTAGTTTTTCTTGTAGATGCATTGGAACGTTGGCGGTAAGTTTTGGCTCTGTGTTTAAATTTTGCACTTGATTTTTATTACTAATGAGGCTTTTGTTGATGGGATCTTATCCAATTTCTGAGAGTCAGGAAATGGAGTTTGGTTCACTATGTGTTTTTAGTAATGAGAAAGTTCCTTGTGAAAATGTTTGGAGAACTCCTCATCCTAGATTCATTTTTTCATATTCAACATGATCAATTATTTGATTGTTTCATAAGTGCTGTTTTCTGTAAAACACAATTACAAATTTTCTTTTTCTGAATCATTGTTTCTGGTATTTGTGTATTTAGAAAATGAATTTATATCTTAATTAGCGTGTTGTTCATACTGGTCACATTCACACAGTAGAAAGTTGGATGTGTAATAATTGGCATCTGTGGATAATGCAAACTATACCCTAAATGAGAGATGTAATGGTAATTGTCATCATAATATATTTTTTGACACAGGGAACAGCATTCTCCATGACTGAGCGTGATCGCCTTGATCTTCGTGGCCTTCTCCCACCAAATGTTATGAGCAGCCAACAACAAATTGAACGATTCAGTATGTTTGGAATTCTTGTCATTGAACTCCACATTTCAGTCATTTTGTAAATTATAAGATGCTTGTGAATGATGTTTATGTCAATCTTTGTTTTTGCTTAGGCTTGTTTGGGTTGATTCGAGTATGCAAAGGCTCGAGAGAGTCTGATTTGGTTTATTCATTTTTATTCTTTGACAATGTCCAAGTTTGCTTCATGACTGGAAGTATCATCCTCTCGTCCCCCCCCCCCCCCCCCCCCTCCCCTTCATTTGTGTTACTACTTCTATGGTACGCTATGGTTTCTACTTTCTACCATTGTGATTTCAACACCATCCCCTGTGTGTTTTATACCCAACCTCACACATCATGAGTGAACTGGAATCTCTCTCTCTCTCTCTAAACAATGACTATTGTGATTTCTGAATTATTCCTAGGTTAAGCTCTTCTGCCCATTGAATCCACTCTCTTTCTTTACTAAGGGCCTTGCATAACATCCTTTTAACTGTTCTCCTCTAAGCCTTCCAAGGTATGAAATGCTTTTGTAATCACTCTTCCCAATTCATCTTTCAGCCATTGCGAATGATCGATCTTATCGAGATGCTTTTGATTTATATCCTGAATCACCATCCTCCCTAGTTGCATTGGACAAATATGATTAAACACAAATAAGAAGGAAGCCAGTCAACATATGGAGCTGTCAAGAATGGGATAAGCGTTCAAGAATGGATGACCAATGATGATGATGGCTTAAAATATAATTGATCAGACTTCGAATTTCAAGAAAAGGAGTACTTAATGCTTGAGGAAAGGGGGCCCTAAGGATTACAAAATCTGCTTACTACATTAAATTCAACTGAGGCAGAACTTATCCAAAAGAATGACAAAGGAAAACATAATGCCGATATCAAAGGACTGCTAGTCAAGGGGAACTATACTGAGTTATAGTCTGACTCAAAAAGTTTATATTTGCTCCGAAATGTGATTGCCATCAAATCATTTGGTTGAGTTTTCTAATATATACTTCTTCGAAGGGTCTCAACTGATTAACATTCCAACATCTATCTTGGCAGTGGTTGACTTGAAAAGGCTGGAAGTGAATGCACGAGATGGACCTTCTGACACAATTTCTCTGGCTAAGTGGCGTATTCTCAATAGGTTGCATGACAGGAATGAAACAATGTATTACAAGGTGAGCTCTTGCGTTAGGAGCCTTGGATATCTATTATTTTTATTATTGCATGTTAGTATAGTTTTTCAAGTACCCTTCTCTCTCTCTCTCTCTCATTCCCTCTCTCTGTGGTTGTCTTTCCAAGTTTGTGTACTGAATTTTATTGAATGAATAGACTAGAAGAACATCAAAATGGCTGGCATAGGTGTAAATATTTTGGAGTGAGCTCCCACAGATGTAATATCGTCAATATGCAGTCCACAATGGTTGTGTTGAGGATTTCTACAGTAGTGTTGGGGATTTCCATGGGGTAAATTATATTGGGTCTGTCTTTATCTTGCAGGGATATGTATTTTATCTTTTATATTCTGATTGATGCATAAGAATCTCTTAAATTATTGGCTAATTCTAAGGCAAATCTTAATTGACCTTCTACAGGTTTTGATTGAAAATATTGAGGAGTATGCCCCAATAGTATACACTCCAACTGTTGGGCTTGTATGTCAAAATTATAGTGGCTTATTTAGAAGACCAAGGGGGATGTATTTTAGTGCTGCTGATCGTGGGGAAATGATGTCAATGGTTTATAACTGGCCAGCTGAGCAGGTTTTTGAAACTTCTATTCAATATTATGTTATTGGTGGCTTGGTGTTGCTATAATTATGTGTCAAATACGCCATGATCTTCTCTATTTCTCAAAATGTGGCATATTTCCAGGAAATCTTGTTAGATATTCTCTTTGTATGTGAATTCCTTGCCTGCTTCTCAGCACTGTTCTTCTCTGGTTTTTCCAATATAGACTCCTAGCATTATTTTGTATTAAAGTATTCCAAGGTACTCTTTGTTTCTTTATTCTTGTTTTTTTTCTTCCTGTTCAGTATCTTAATTCGCAAACTGAGTAATTTCGTATCAAGAATTAAAATTCCATAATTAAGTATAGAAAGTTTCCTATGAACATATTAGTGAAGGGGTTAATGCTTAATGAATGTGCTTACATTTATAGTTAGTAATGGATTTTTCATTGCATATTATCTGTACTAGTTATCTTCATGGTTTTTATGCCATTTGTTTTCTCTAAATCGTTCTGCTCTTAAGAGAGACTGCTTTTTTAATTATGAAAAAGAAGAACTGTTTTAATTTGAAATTGATTTGCAGAAAAGTTCCCTGACACAGAATAAACTTTTTTTTCTTTGTTTTTTTATTCTAATGTTGTTTTGTTGAGTTGACCAGGAAGGAAATGCTTTGATAGTAATGCAAGTGTTACTCACTTTTGTTAAGCCTATTGTAGGTTGATATGATCGTGGTAACAGATGGGAGTAGAATTTTGGGTCTTGGAGATCTTGGGGTGCAAGGAATTGGTATCGCAATTGGGAAGTTGGATTTATATGTTGCTGCTGCTGGCATAAATCCCCAAAGGGTATACCATTTTGTGGAAGCTCTTGTGAAGTGGAACAATACCATTCAGTTTTTCTCATTTGCTTCATTACTTGTTATCTTAGGGGAGTTTATTTGTTGCTTAGGAAATGTCTTTTTCAACTTGCATTTCGCATAGGCGTTTAATGTCTTTGAATAAGGGATCCTTTTAAGGGAAATTTATCAAATTACTCATGAGAGATAAACAATTTAACACCTTACCCATATCTTTTGATTTAATTTCAAAATACCCATAAAGAAAACACGTGATCTTGAGTTGGAATAGTTGCACATAGGTAGAATGTTATATAGTTTATATTTTATGGTATTTTGATAAATTTCCCTCTTTTTAATGTGATGTCCCACTTGGTGTCTTGCCTAGTTTTCTCCATTTCATGTATTAGGTGCTACATGGTGTCAGAAGGAAGTGCAAATTTTACACAATCTGATTCAGGAGTGAATTTTTTGATAATGCAAATTTCTCTTTATGCATGAATGCCTCATCAATTGTCAAACTGAAGAAATTTTTCAAATCTATATTTCAAAATGCAGTAGTTGTTTGAAATTACTAGTATACAAAACTAGGGCTTCATTAACATTTACTTCTAGCGGCTCCAAACAACCAAATACAAAAATTTGTTGCAATTGTGTAGTTCATTGAAACTAACCTATCGTTTACATCATTCATTGTATATGATTGAATTTTTATGGTAGGGTTACGTCGTCAATTGAAACATTTAGTGATCGTGTGAAGAATAATAAGTCGTACCAAATGCAATGTATGTAGTGTTCACTATTGAGCCCCTAACTACTGGTGTGCTGTCTACCGTATTGAAATTTCAGTGTTGTCTTCTTTGTATTGAACTCTATTACATCTAATATGTGGTAGGTTCTTCCCGTGATGATTGATGTTGGAACAAACAATGAGAAACTTCTCCACGATCCACTCTGTAAGAAATTGACATCTTCTTTTTCCTGTTTCATGTAATGTGGTTAAATTTCCATGTGAGTGGTATGTTAATGCTTTGCTTAGTTTCTATGTGCACGAAATTTTTAGTTTTAAATTAAATATTCAATTGTTTCATGTCTTGAAATATGAAATTTAATCAAGTTAGTTGTTGCTTGTCTATAGACCTAGGACTGCAAGAACACCGTCTTGATGGTGACGAGTACTTATCTGTTATTGATGAATTTATGGAAGCTGTTTTTACACGGTGGCCACATGCCATTGTACAGGTAAAAATATAACTTTCATACATACACACATATGGATGCATGTGTATAGGTCCACATATACATACATGCTTATCCATGTGTGTCCATCTGCAGATTATGTATGTAAAAATTGTTAAAGGGTATGTGCATACTATATAATTTGCAGTGGCTAGTATAATATTGCACTGCCCATTTTTCAAACTTGAGGTACTAACAAAATTTTGGATTTTTCTCAGTTTGAAGATTTTCAAAGCAAATGGGCATTCAAATTATTGCAACGCTACAGGAATTCTTATCGGATGTTCAATGATGATGTTCAGGTGAGCTGGTATCTTTCAGGAGCATCACCCAAATGCATTTTGACGATGTTATGATACAATGTGTACTTTCATTTCAACCGGATCAAATGTTGTATGTGATTTAATATGCTTCCAATATCTCTAAGGGATAATTCTTCTCAAGAATCTAAAAATTTCTGAAATGTATATAAGAGTAACCAAGTGTCCTAATGATGGAGTAACCAGCTAATTTCTGTTGAAGAAGGAAAAAAACATCACTCTTGGAGGTCAAAATGACTAGCATATGTTCTAAACAATTGGGATAATGGCCATGTCCTGTTACATCTATAAGCCCACTATATGGACATGCTTCTTTGAACAACTCCTCCCATGCTGGAGCATCAATACTTTTAAGCGACAGTTTTTCTCCCACTGATATTCTCTTTTGTCACCACTTAGTTTGTTTAAGGTCTTGTACCCTAGGGAGTTTGTTTTTGGTTTGTTCAATTATGTCCTTTATTGAATTTATAAATATTCAATTAACACTGCATCATTTGCTTTGGTGTAAGTTCGCTGCCTGATTGAAAATTGCGCTTAAATGGGGCAAAATATATATACACAGCAGCCTAAGTGTTGGCTATTATTTTGCCTTGTTTAGGTGATACGTAGATTGGGGCAGGGAGGATTTGTGTTTTTGGTATTTTATTCTTTCTTTTAAGGATTTCTATGTTCCATTGTATACTTGTTATCGTATGTGCATTAAAAATAGGGAAAATATCTTCATATCTCCTATTTTTAGGTTTTATTTCTTGATAGACCCAAGCTTTCAAAAGTTATCTTCTAACCCCCTGGCCACTTTAAACCTATTTTAACCTAAACATATGTGAGAAAGACATGCTCTTTCTAAACCCAAATCCTTTATCTCTCTTCACTTATATACCCCAAACTTCTCTCTTTCTCTCTCTTCTTGCTTCTCTCACTCTCTCTCTCCAAGATTTCTCCAAACACCTCTCTCTCCTCCCGATAACCTCTCACCTCTGTGAAATCCAACCCAATCATTTCTCTCTCTTAACTTATATAACCTAAACTTATCTCTTTCTCTCTCTTCCTATGTCTCTCACACTCTTTAGAAACGTGAAGAGAGAGTGGGAGGACAGAGTGAGTGGAGAGAGATGGGAAAGATGGAGAGAGAGAAGGGGTGTGGGAAGAGAGAGAGAGAAATTTGGGAGGATGGTTTTTAAAAAAGGCATGTCTTTTGATTTGTTTGGCCTAAAAAAAATAGGTTTAAATTAGCTTGGGGTTAGAAGAAATAAAATCTACAATATTTATGCCCCAAGATATCTTTTAAAATCTTGGGTCTATTGCGATATGAAACCTAAAAATAGGTGGTATGGAGATATTTTCCCTTAAAATTAACTTGAAATTGGAATTGTCAGAAACATCTGTTCAATCAAATCCTGTTTTAAAAGTTGTGCCTTCGCCTTGGTGTAAGTTTGTCTCAAGTTTTAAAGTTGGTAAGAAGAGTACAGCATCGCCACCTAAATCTCTTAATGTACCCTGCTTCTACTACAGATGTCAGAATTTGTTTTTTTACATCTTCTCCAAAGGGGGTGCCACATACCCAGCTTTTGACAAAAGGGTATTTACCATCCAGTCTCCAGACTTAATCATAGCAAAGGGAACATGGTACACAATCCTCTCACGAGTTACCTGCCCATAAACTTCTTCATATTGCCTTCTTGGTAATTATTTATACAAGAACCTTCTTAATGCCTTCTGCTGGCCCCCAGCAAATGCTAGCATTTTTTTTGTGAATAGTTTACTTAGACCTTCCTAGTCCAGCCCTCATTTAGTAGTCTGATTTGCTAAAGTACTGATGATTTTGTGTAATTTTTGTTTCTCATGTTCAACTATAACATCAGTGCTATTTTACTTGAAAATTGCTTACTTCAATTTTTCTTGGAGTTTCTTTGTGCCATCAAATTTCAATATTGTATTTATTCAAATTTATTTTGTTTGATGATGTAGTTATCTAGTTTGTGTTCTTGCTTGTAGTTGTTGGGATGATTCCACCTGAAAAGCATATTGACCTCCCTATTTCACAGAGAAAGCATTGTTTGTTTCAAATATACTGGACTGTTCCATACAGCTTTAGTTTTTATATCTTATTAGTGATGTTTCAGGGGACAGCCGGAGTTGCAATTGCAGGTCTTTTAGGAGCTGTAAGAGCACAAGGAAGACCAATGATTGACTTCCCAAAGCAAAAAATTGTTGTTGCTGGTGCTGGGAGGTATTTTAATATCGTTCCTTATTTTGAACTTGGATTTTGAAAGAATTTTGTTGTCAAACACATTAATCTGTTGTTAATTTGGTAATGGAATATTTGCTAATCACAGTCTATCTGATTAAATGCTTTTTGCAAACTTTATACGGAGAAAGACTTTAAGAATGAATTATTCCTGTTCGGGAATTATTACTGCCTCATTAATTCTTTTGGGATCATTTCTAAGAACTGCTATTATCTTAAGTTCAGAATGTCTTTCACTTGCCTCTTGAATTCATGACCGTGTTACTCCTCCTCTGGGAGAGATAAAAAGCTATGTAAATGCACTCCATATGGGGAACAAGACATTTTGTACATTTTCTATATGTGGATGAATGGTCTACCTTCATTTTACAAAGATCAAGTCACATATTGGTAATCACAACCTCAATATAGTGTCGACTACGTAACCCCACTCATAATATTTGTATTCGGTCAAATGGGAACCATGACATGAAGCATGTATTGCATGGCCATACATTTTCGGGCGAATGGGAATAAATTGCAGCAGAAAGTATGAAGAAATAGAATGCTTTCAAAATGTTTGGCCAGTTCTCTATGCATTTGAAACTGGAAAAATGTGATGGTCAGTTGGGTTGTAAATAAGAAGACTGTAGGGTTTGACAGAAAATGTTATTGCACAATTTTTTGGGCTAATGGGAATAAACTGCAGCAACTGGGAGTTAAGAACATACTACAAATAAATAATAAATTTTAGGTTTTCTACAGAAAGTATGAAGAAATATATTGCTTTCAAAATGTTTGGCCAGTTCTCTATGCGTTTGAAACTGGAAAAATGTGATGGTCAGTTGGGTTGTAAATAAGAAGACTGTAGGGTTTGACAGAAAATGTTATTGCACAATTTTTTGGACATCATTCATGAAACCCACATGCATGTGATACATGTGAAAAGATATGAAAATAAATGGTGGCTAGGTTTTTGGAAAATGCCAATATATATGTACAAATAACGATAGATTTTTACTCTAGGAGTGTCTTGAAGGTGATAAAACCTGTTGATGTATCTGTATCCACACATGTGAAACTAGGAATTAACATCTAATGACTATCTATATAGATTTTTTGAGTGGATGGAAGGCCTAAAAAGTATAAAATATAAGCATACAAAAACTATCCTTAACTATTGAGATAAGAATCATATGTACAATTGATGACATCCATGTTGTGCATGATGCCGTGAATATTTCTTGGCCCTTTAATGGGGCTGATTACGGGCTGCTTCCTTGATCATATATAAAGGTCTGAAGAAAGTTGACGAAAATGCATGAGGGGCATAAGTATAAGATCTAGATATTTTTCAACACATTGAAGGAATTTTAAGACTATTCTATCTCAACCATTGATGAATAATGGTTCTGAATGAGTAGCTTGAGGTTGCAAGTAGTTTCTTCTTTACATGCAATAATTTATTCTATCATGGGCTAACAGTATTGTTTTTCACATGTTTTAACAGTGCAGGAATAGGCGTCCTCAATGCTGCTAGGAAGACGATGGCTAGGATGTTAGATGATACAGATATTGCCTTTGAAAGTGCTAGGAGTCAGTTCTGGGTGGTTGATGCAAAGGTGGGTAGAATATGAATCTGTGGCTTTACTTGTGTGGTTGACACAATCTGAATGAATAGATTTGATACTTTGTACTGCTTTGAACATTCTCAGGTTATATAGGAATAAGAGAAAGCAAAATTACTGAAGTTAATCATATTCGATTTTATTGACCTCTAGTTGCTGACTGTTACGCAAAAGAGACAATCCATGACTGATTATCTGACCTCAGAACTATTGCAACAAGTTCTTGCTATTGCAGAACATTTCAATAAGACTGACTTCCACAGTTCTTGCTATTGCAGAACATGTCCACCTTTAAATGTTGCTTCAAAATTTCATGAATAATCACCTAGCCCCATTAGTGATTCATATGATGACACATAAAAGTTTTATGTTGTTGCAGTCCTTGGCTGAATACATTTGCATACTTCGTATGCTGTTTCAATGCATTTTTGATATTGTAGTATTACCTGCTTATTTCACAATTGTTTAGAAGACTGTTATACATAACTCCTGAACATCTCAGTCAGAATACTCCACACCTGTTATAAGGAGATGGACACACATGTCTCTCTGATACAAATGCCAACTCCATAATTGGTCTTTTAGATATTACACGTTATATGTCATTGAGAGGGCAAGGAGGCACATCTTTACTAGCATTGAGTACTTTTCCATGACATTCAAAGGGAAAACAAATTATGCAAAAGTGACTGAGTTTCAGACAAGTGCCGTGTCCTTGGTGTACTTGGTGCGTTGATATACACCAAGAACCACAGATATGCATGTCCAAGTTACCTGGGTCCACACTCATATGACCAATCTCTTTTACTTTTTTGTATTATTGCGTATACCTGGAGTAAATACTTTGTGACTTTGTGCTTAAGTATTATTTCAAAACTTTTTTAAACACTTTGTGATTTGGTATTAATTCAACACTGTTTTGGGTTTCATACTCACCATGACTGTTCTTTCACTTTGAGCATATCAACTGTGGTGTTTCTTTTTACAAGTGGATTCATGCTCGATGTGATTTGTGTGACAACTAATCAGGGACTCATTACTGAGGAGAGAGAAAATATAGATCCTGATGCACTGCCATTTGCTAGAAAGCTCAAGGAAGTGAGCCACCAAGGTTTGAGAGAGGGTGCAAGTATCGCAGAAGTGGTATGTGTTCTCTTTTCCTTCAAATTATCCTTTCTTATATTACATGGTGCAACAATGGCAAATAATGAGAATTCTTGAAGCATCGATGGAAGCATTGGGATCATTGGTAGATATGGTAGAAGTGGAAGAAGTGACATCCCTACCTTTATTCAGTAGGAGAATTTTTTGGAAAAAGAAACCGGAGGAGGGGAGTTCTCTAGCTTTAGGAACCTACTATTGTATTATCATTATGAATTTTGAAAATTTTGTGTCCATTTTGTAGAATAATTACAAAAATATGCCAATTTATTCAAAATTGCTAATATACTTCCAGGATCAGCCAAAGCTTCTGTGTGTTTTATTGTATGAATGTGTGACTTATGAGATTCATTGTTGTGTTTAGGTGCAAAAATGTCACTTGGAAATAATGATGCACTTTGGGAAACATCCTATACTCTAAAAATATGCTTTAGTGAGGGTATCTATACATTTGTTACAAAAATTGTTGATTCCACATGTATTAGGTTTATTTTTCACCTATTAGCTAGATTATAGGACACTTATAAGAGGAGAGCAAGTCAAATTCATCGACCATACATGTTTTCCATGTGGTGTAGCTTCTTCAGTCTGTTTGTTGCAAAGTTATGGCTTTTTTGCTGCATGGAAAATGGCAAAGGTCTAGCTTTTATCGTCCATATGGTTGTTGATTGATCTTTTCTCTTTTGTTGGTGGAATAATACAGAGAGGATTAATTTGTATGATCCAGTTTACAACCTTAAGTCTTGAAACTCAACTTCCAGTTTTCTGTAGCACTTCCTTTTTTGGTTACAAGAAATGCTAGTAAATTAGGGGTCTCAGAAGTTTGGGGTCCTCAATCACCATCCCTCCCATGGAGATGCGAACTTCATTGAGTTTGCATCTCTCATTTTGCTACAGTAAAGCATGATATTCCCTCCCTCTCATCTTTTGCTTCTCATCCAAACCTGCTGCTCTCTCACCTCAACTCACCGAGCCTCCCCCTCTCTAGAGAGCTTAACACCTCAGAGAGAGGGGGAGAGAGGTCCATGTCAGGTTGAAGAGAGAGAAAGGGCTCCATAGATGCTTGAAATTGAGAGAGAGCATAAACGTTTAGAAAGTGAAGGTGAGCTTTCACAACACTTACTGAGACAGAAAGGGCTCCATCACTTCTTGAAGTCGAAGAGTGAGAGAGAGCATAAATTCTTCTCTTTCACACTTGCAAGCACTCACTCAGAGAGTGAGAGAGAGAAAGAGGCGAAAATGGTGTCCACTGTACCAGACACGGTGCTCAAGCTCTTCACAACAGAGACCCTAAAATTAGCAGCAGAGCAATCTCAGTCTGTAGCGTTAATGCTCTGCAACTCTTGAAAACTCTCTCTTTCTTATCTTCTTCAACCACTCCACTATATCAGCCTTAAGGTAAGTGTCTATATCATGGCGTATTTTTATATCTTATTTTTTAAAAAAATTCATTTCAGATAGGGCTTCTGCTTGCTGCTGGCCCATCGATTGTCATCAGACAGCCTTCTCTCTCATAAAAAAACCCAGATTTTTTGTTGTGTTTGGCAATATGAAGAGGAACTTTATTGTTTGGGTGATTATTGGGCCTCTTTGAGCATAAGAGGCTTTCAAAGATATGTTTTGGTTGTGTTTTGAATTGGGCTTTTCTGACGAGAGTGAACAATGGCTGAGAACTATGATGGGATCACATTGGGTTTCTGGGGAAGAATTTTGGTAGAAAAGTTTAATGGTGCGAGGGGGCTTAGACTGTTTTTATCTAATATCAATGTTTGGTTTGGTGTTATTTTTATTTGTCTGGACCTGTGATGGCCCTGAGATCCCCTAGGGAGAAGGATAGTTCATGGAGCAGCAATCAAGCATGTTCTGTCCTTTTCTTATCTCTTTTCTCTGTCTTCTCTTTTTTATCTCTGTTATTTTCATTGGTCTTAAGTGGATTGCTTGCTACTGTGTATTTGCTCTAATAATGTGTTTCCAAAATTGGAATTCTTTCTTCAATGTTTTGTGATAGAAAGAAACAATTCAATTCCATGAATCTTATTTGCTGTTCTTAATCAAAAGTAGGATTCTATGCCGATGGGCAAATGATCATCTAAATTTACCGTGGTAATTTGCAGTAGAGCTATTTATTAATTTTGGAAACCATGAAGTACACTTTGAGAGGCAATGAGGAAGAAAATCTCATCATGCCTCATTCATACACTATATGTGTGCTTCTTGTTTTTTGTGGATTCACACATTACTTCATGTGACATATTTGTTCTGTGCCTCCTAAGAAATCTTTCTATTACTGGTCTATGTAATGTTTTCACTTTTTTAGTTCTTAGTCTTCAACTTCATTGGAGAACTTAACTACTTCCCTTGGGAAATATTACCCATTTTAATACTGGTCCATGGTAAGGTTCCTACATTTTAAAGTACCCTAATGCCCTTTAAGTTGCTGGATGCAATTTATCATGGAGTAGTTGATGGTTCCAGGTTGAAATTGAGCTGTTTTGTGCTGCTAAATATAAGCCTTACTTTCTGGAATGTGTAGGAGAAATGAAATTTCTATTATATGTAGGTACAGTTTGTGTTAACCATGTCTTGATGTTCAGAAAGAGAGTTCACAAATTAAATATAGCAAAACTAGAAGTAATTCTACTCCAAATAACTACTACAAATTTCTTGTTCAGAAGAGAGGTCACTGTTATGGATGGGCTATAAAAAAATTAAATATAGCAAAACTAGAAGTAATTCTACTCCAAATAACTACTACAAATTTATTGTTATCAAAACTGTCCATTTTATTTGACATACCATGGATAACCTATGACTCAAAAATTACATCGAACAAATACTACCCCCTCATCAATGAAAACTTCAATGACTGATTAAACTGGCCACTTTCCAGATCTCCTCATTTCCAAAGACTCACGAGTTCATCAAACAAAGGCTTCCAAGCTTCCTAGAAATTTCAGATAGGTTATCAAACAAGGGGACCAGTACTTCCAGATATCAACAGATCCTCCTTCCAGGGAACTAGAGCTTTGAGGTTCCAGGGAACCTCCAGTTTCTAGTTACCAAATGTACCCCAAGAGATTTAGGAAGTTCAGATCTCCAGATTTCTAACTATTGCAAGTTATATGCAGTACAACTTATGAAACTCATATTAAATAGATGCATGTGACATAGCAGGAAAAAAAGATGCATCCAGATGGATAACCTTTTATCCATATTTGTTTCATCAGTATCTACTGTGGATGATATAAAAAGGCAGCTTTCTATTATTTAATATGATTAGAATTAATCTGTTGAAATGACTATGAAATATTTTTTCTTTTCTGCAACAAATTCTAATGTGCGACAACATGTTGTTGTTCTTAAGTTTTCTAATTAAATAATTTTCCCCTTTATGGATCAGGTTAGAATAGTTAAACCAGATGTCCTTCTCGGATTATCAGCAGTGGGAGGTCTTTTCTCTGAAGAGGTAAAGGGTGTACTTTGCAAACTTTATTTTCCATGTGAACATTTCTTAGCCTTGTAAGTGTTGTACATCTATCATCTTATTTCTGTACAACTTAGGATACTTGATTTTTTATGCATGGCATGAGATCCAATCCATAAGGGTTATGACCTTTATTCACATAATATCGGTACTCTGCTTTTGATATTGCAATTAAAAATAACAGTGAAAGTGGTCCTCAATTTAAGTAAAACTTGACTCTAGAAAGAAGAATACCATCACACAAAATTTTGAAAACTTCACTATGTAAGCTACATCAAGGTAAAGTATTCAAACTCCTTAAAAAGCATAATGCAGAGCTCATACTTGAATTATCCTCTCTGAAGAGGTAAAGAGTGTACTTTGTAAACCTTAGTTTCTATGTGAACATTTCTTAGCCTTGTATGTCTTGTACATCTATCATCTTATTTCTGTACAACTTAGGACACTTGATGGCATGAGGGCCAATTCTTAAGGGTTCTGACCTTTATTCGCATAATATTGGTATTCTGCTTTTGATATTACAGTTAAAAATAACAGTGAAAGTCGTCCTCAATTTCAGTAAAACTTGACTCTAGAAAGAAGACTACCATCACACAATATTTTGACACGTTCACTATGTAAGCCACATCAAAGTAAAGTATTCAAACTCCTTAAAAGCATAATGCAGAGCTCGTACTTGAATTATCCTCTTCAAAACTCCCACATGAATTCTGCATTCCTTATGACACCTATGGGATATCATTTTTAGTTAATCATTTTAATCAGCTGTATGCTCAACATGTTGTTCTACACAATCTTACTAATACAGTATGTCTTCCTTTAATCATCTAATTGTTTGAATGGTCTAGGCATGTATCGTCTTTCTTTTCATTTTTCAATGAGTAAATTATGTCATATTTTGTAGGTGTTGGAATCCCTTAAGGGTTCAACTTCCACCAGACCGGCTATTTTTGCGATGTCAAATCCCACAAAAAATGGTGAGCAAGTTTAAACTTTTGTTAGTTGAAATTCTAGACACAATCTTTGACTTAATCATTCTTGTTTCCTTGTCATATTTGTGTAATAGCTGAATGCACCCCGGAACAAGCTTTCTCTATCGTGGGTGACCATATTATATTTGCAAGTGGAAGCCCATTCCATGACGTGAATCTTGGTATGTATTGTTTGCAAGGAATTTATGGGATTATTGATGTTGATTGGATGCACATCATGTTATATGCTTGACTTGTAACTTATGTGTCTCTGATGGAAATTTTCTTGGTCTTAGCCTAACTCAAGGACATAGAGAAAATTTATGGTTGACATGATGACATATTTTCTTTACTTACCAATTTGTTGCCACAGTAGGATACATATCTATTACTCAGGCAGATTAAGGAGGCTATTATTTCTTTGTTTTCTTGCTTGAGGCATAAAATTTGAAACTATTAAATATGTGACGCAGGAAACGGTGAGATTGGACACTGTAACCAAGGCAATAACATGTATCTCTTTCCGGGGTGGGTCTGTTTGCTTCTTGTTGTTGCAGAATCATGGCCAGCCTCTCTCTCTTTACTGATTATTTCCTTTGTTTAATACAGGATTGGCCTTGGAACTCTTCTCTCTGGTGCTCGGGTGATTTCAGATGGCATGCTACAAGCTGCAGCAGAATGGTAGTTATTCTCTTTCTGTCTTTGTCTGGTTCAGCTCTAAATTTTCCTGCGCTGACCTTTAAAGGTGGTTTTTACTCTCCCTTAAATCTTTTTCAGCCTAGCTGCATATATGAAGGATGAGGAAGTGCTGAAAGGGATCATATATCCTTCTATATCCAGGTATAAAAACCTCAGCTAGAGAGAGAAATGCTCCACACACACAAACACACATTGAAAAATAATTCATACATCTAGGCGATCAAAATTAAAAAAATAATATGAATTTGCACAAAATTTGGGGGGAAAATTAGGCTGCCATTTTCAGTGAACACAAACCGTCCATTTGATAGATGATGGATCTAGACCATCAAGAACTCTAAATCTTTTTTTTTTTTTTTCTGAACCTTTTTTTTTTTTTATTCGTTTTTTGAAGAGAAGACATGCAAAATTCAAGCCTAATAAAATTCCTCTAGGTACGTGTTTTTGGTCAATGGCCTTGTACTGTAGCCTAAACCCATTGGCTTATAGAATCTGATTCTGAATAGGAAAAAGATCCTATAAGCCAACGGGCTTGTGTGTGTTGTGTGTGTGTGTTTGATTTTCAAATGTTTTTATTTGTTCTTTTATGAAAACAGCATACGTGACATAACCAAGGAAGTAGCTGCAGCTGTGTTGAGAGAAGCTGTAGAAGAGGATCTTGCTGAGGGTTACCGTGACACGGATGCTCGGGAGTTGCAACGAATGTCAAAGGTACGTCTCTCTCTCTCTCTCAGGTGCTGTGATGGTTTTATGCTCTCTCACTCATTGAGGTGACATGAAAGTTTTATGCCCTCTCTCACTTTCCCTTGGGGCGACATGAAAGTTCCTTGCTATTAAATTTCAGGATGAAACTGTAAGATATGTGCAAAGCATGATGTGGAATCCGGTCTACCCTACCATGGTATTCAAGAAATCATGAAAAGAAGAGGAATGGCATGCCATTATTCAAATTCTGCTCGTTGTTGGTGGCATCATCCTGCAGATTTTTACGTGTAATCGTGTGTAATCTTGTAATGGTTGACTTTTACATTATTGTAAGGAATGAAATTCTTGATTTTTGTATTATTATCATAAGTGATATAATCATTTCATTAGAATTAGTGCTCTGTTGCTTACCTTTTGTTTGGTATCCTATGGGCCTTAGGATTAATAGAGACATAAATGGTGGTGGTGCCTTAATACGCTTGACATATGCAAAAAGGGCAGTTTGCAAAAATGTAAGTTACATGATGTAACCCATCTTTTGAATCTGAACCTATTATGTTTATTTTATGTTTATTGTGTTTGCGTTGAGTATTTGTTCAACCAGATTGTGTGTGTGTATGAGGTAGTTAGAAAGTTTGTTTGGAGTAAAATCCACTTTCAAAAATCTTTATTTTGATTAGGGCTGGCCATGGGATAGGTGTGGCACAAATTGGCGATAAGATAAGAGAAAGTAGACCTAGGTGGGCTGTCTATATTTATATTATACAAATTATTAGGAGGTGCGAGTTAGTTCAATTGGAAGGTTAAAAAATAGCAAGAGGTAGGCTTAAAACAACATGATTGGAAGTAAAAAAAAAAGATATGGAGACTTATAGCTTCACTAAAGGTATGATTCTTGATAGAGCAGAAAGGTGGACTAAGATATGTGTACCTAACTCTAATTAATTGGAAAAAAACTCTGATGATGATGGTGATGAGGGCTAGAATGGATCAGGTGGTCCAAGTATTAAAAAACTAGGGCTTGGGCAACAAAATGTAGCCCAAGGATGGAGCCAAGGCCGGGCCACCATAACTTGACGGCCGGGTTGGCCGGGGCATGGGCCAGGGCCACAAGAGGACCAAATTTCACACGGTGTTCGTTAGGGGAAACCATGATCACCACAATAAAATGAAAGGATGCAGGTTATCAAACCGATTTGCAAAGAGAGAATCATAGGAGGGAGAAATAAAAAGAGGAATCCAGGGGTTCCTTTAACTTTGTCCAAATGAATAACGAACTAATCTAACTAATTGTTTCGTTGTTTTTCCCATTGTTAGAGAAGCCAATAAGAGTTAAAAATTATAAGGAAGTTTACTTAAAAGCGATGAGGACATTTACCATATCATCACATTCAATTTTTTGGAATTTAAAAGCCTAGTATTTAAGGACATCAAGTCTAAGTTTCTTTTTTATTTATTTTTTTATACATCATGTTTGGACATTCGATGCGGGGTTTTTCATTTTTTAAGTAAAAGGCAGTCCCGACATTAGACATTCTTTTTGTGTCCAAGGTTCCAATCACTCTAAACTAAAAAAAGAGAGTATTTTGGGTTTGTACAGTAGATATCTGAATGAAAAAATGAGTTGGAATATCAAATGTCTAAACCTTTTTTAAACCCAAAGTCGAAGGAAAATTGTTGTATGGGGCAGTGATTTGAACATAATCTTTAAGATGGAAGTACAACAAAAAAAGCTGTGAACATTTTCTAAAATAGAGGGTGTAGAAAAATTCAAAAAAATCATATTGAAATCGATAATTTATTACTTTTTAAAAATGCTTATGATTATTATAACCTTGATTATGAATCTATAATTTTTTTTATCCAAAATCTATATTTTAAATAAGATTTGGATCCAATACAAAAACTTGAAGGATAATTTATTAAAAAACATATATTTTGTAAAAAAGTTGTCTGAACATTTTCGAGTTTCACATTTAAGTCCCACCGGCATAAAGTGTATTGTAATTGATCTCTTGTATATATGTACTCAATATGCTATATATATATACTTCTTACTATTATATACATAATATATATATTTTAAAAATAATTTGAAAATAATAAATAAGGTATTTTGGTCTATGTATTTTTTGTGAATTATTTTTTAAATATTTTTATTAGGTACATCTTGATGAGAAGAACACATGTCTAAATTTCAAGTTATTTGGATTCGTATAAAAAAAAATTAAAATTAAAATACAAAATGAGGTCATGACTGTCAAATTCGCCTCGATTTAATCTGGGCTATTGGGATCATATGTTCTTATGAGCTAGTGGGCTAATTTCAACATTTTCCTATATATATATATATATATCGAGATTGTAATCATTTGTTTTTTATATATGGAGGTCACAATCATTCCTACACATTAAATGTCAAATTAGATGGCTTAGAGTGAGTCAAGAAGTCCGAATTTTTTTTTAAAATTTTATATATAGTTAATGACACTCTTATCATCATCCATTTTAAAATTTACGGGTCAATAATGATGGTGACCTACATATACAAAAGATAAAAAGTTTGGTTTCTATTAGGTTGCAACCTTAAACAATCCAATCAAGGCGCGTCTCTAAATTGTATCATAATATGTAATTTTGGTATAAGGAATTCTTAGGATTATTTGAAAATCTATTTTCATATCTAATTATAAAATTTTAAACTAAAAAAATAGTTAAAATCAATTAGATCAATAAACTTATAAAAAACTTGAAAATTGACTGTCTAGATAATATGTTGTAAGATGCACTATTTTTGGGACTCAATTGTTTTTTTTTTTTCAAATTCATCCATCTTGTTGTCACGATGATCAATTAAAGGATTTTTCAACATTAAAACAACAATTTTTTTTTATAAATTTTAGAGGTGCATCTTTACTAACAACCTTTTTCCAAAGTCTCTTATACTCCATTTTAAAGGTTGCAAACTTATATAAACTTTTTCCAAAGTCTCTTGTAGACAATCCATGCATACCACCCCAGAATAAATGGTTGAGAATTTGAGATGATCAGAAGTTCAGAATTTCACTTAATCCAATAGAGTTTTTGGTTTGGAGTACCATGGTTTGGGTCCCGCCATCTCTCTCTCAGTGGAAAGTGGGTGCTTTCTGATTTTTTTAAAAGTTGAAACTTGATGGTAGGGAAGCTCTTTCTCCGACTCACTTCAAAGAGCTTCTTAAATGGGGTGTTAGGGATCTCTCTCTGATATTTTTGAGTAAAACTAGGGTTTTAGAGCTCTCTCAAGGCGGTTGGTGCTAATCATGAATGGGGCCTCAAGCCTTGCGCACCTATGCAATACTCCTTCTTCCAAACCCTATTTTTGGACTTCAATGCTTTCAAAAGGTATGTCACTAACTTTCTCAGACTCCATACAAACTCATAACCTTCTTCATTCTTACATGTGTTTTGTAAACATATGCATGTTTTCTTTCATGACTCTAGATTTTCTTGTAATGATGTTCTACTTGATTTCCTTTCCCAAAAATGCAAAAAGAAAGAATGAAAAAATATCCCTCTCTATCGCTGAATTGCTCCGTCCCTTGAAAGAAAGTTTTTACTAGATGCTTAGTATCCTTACTTCCCGGGACTTGGGTAAGTTTAATGTCAATTATGCATTTGTTTTTATGCGCAGAGTCCCATTTTCTCAAAAGGTTTGCACTTCATTTTAATTTTGAATCTGGTTCTTCCAAGCTAAATGGAAATTTCATCAGAGGCAACAAAGAATTTAGAATTTATGGTCTTTGGTTAATTTCAAGAAATAAGAAAAATACAAATAGTTAACATTCTCAAAAAAAAAAAAAGAAAAAGAAAGAAGAAGGCTGAACTGATTGTCTCGCTATAGCTTTGCAAATTTATGCAATAATTCTCTGAAAATTGATGATAAATCTTTTTTGTAGAAGAACCAATAATTCTCGCCTAGAAATGAACTATTTAAATTGACTGCACTCATGTTCTTGTGGCACCCATTGAAAGCTCTTCTTAATTATAGTTGCTTGAGAATGATTAAACAAACTTTTAGGATGTTAGTTTCCCAAAGAACTTATTGAGATTTTGCTTGCGAAAAGGTTAATTGTTTCGATATATTTTGTGTGAATGGTATTGCAGGTTCATTTTCCTTTTTGGAAACGCAAATTTGGTCTAGATTGAGTTTTCGTAGGGAAGTCCAAATAGCTACATGTATGGTTGTTGGTGGGAGCTATATTTCCACACCTGTGCAACAACCCAAAATTGCTTTCAAGGTAAATTCGCATTGTTTTTTCTTGTCGACTCGAAGTTTAATCTGGCCAACGAAATTGATCTCAAGTGGATTTTTTATTCTTTACCGAGTAGTTTGTTGTTTTTTTAACTGTTTCTTTTGTCTTTTCCTTTTTTAACAGCAGAGCTTTTGAGTTCTTCTATTTATTTTATTCACAGAAAATGATTATCGTAGTTATTTTCTCTTCAATTTTTTGTTCATGCTTGAAACCACATCTTGGGTATACGTATGCTTCTTAATCCAGTCAAGTCACATAGTTTATTTTCCATTATGCAATAAGTCCATAAGTGCTACTGGATATTTACATTCAGGTTTGTTCAAGCTAATCAAATAAGCATTGTAAATTTGTAACTTGAAGTTGATGAATTTTTACATCTGTACACATTGCAAGTACCATGGGAAATAAGGCTTACATTTAATCTACATCAGCCTTTTCGTTATGGAAATATCATTCTTCTTGAGAGTGGCATTTTGGTTTTTCTTTGTTGACATACTGATCATCTCGTGATTAGGCTATAGCACCATTTTGACATCCACTTGTAGGTTGGGAATAAGCGTAAGTGGATAAGATTCCTATTTCAGCCATTATACCTCAAACTTTGCCTGAATTTTGGATTTTTATTTTGAAAATTATTAAAAATCTGAAATCAAAATGAAATTCTGGTTCATTAATCATAGTTGACCAAAATTGGAAATTGAAATACAAAATCTGATTTTAACACCCGAGGAACCAAATAAGAAATCCGAATCACTAAATTTTAATTTAATACATTAGAAAGTCTAGGGAAAGAATCTATCTTCAGACTTTATTTTTGAATATGTGAAGAGTCTCTTAGGAGCATTAATTTTTTGCCCTCATATTTCTAGGACAAACCTCCGCAAAAATTGGAGAAAACTGGAGCATTCCAAAAGTTACCCATGGTGTTGCCTTCAAATGACTTACTTCTTTCGGCGTTGAAAAAAGCAAAGAGGGTTTCTCCTACAAAGGGTAGTTGGCTGCTGTGACATTAATACTCCATAACGACATTGGTTTCCTTTTTGTATTTTATTTTTAGTTGGAGTGTTATTTACATGGATGTTCAATAACAGATGCTTGTTCATTTCCTTATTAGGCATTGCAAATATAGCAAAACGAGAGAGAAACAGAGGTGCCAGACAACTTGATCAATTGATGAAAGTAAGCTTGCAACTTCTACTGCTATATAGTTTAGGTTGAAATTTTCTCCATTTTCTTGAATGGCATTGGAGATATTTCTTGAGATGACTTTTTATTATCTTTTTTGATAATTTATTCTTTATTGGGTTTATTATGACTTCACTTTCAGGAATTAGCTGTTCCCTTGAGAGGTTATGTGAAGATGTTCCCCTACAAACGTTCTCTGCATCCTTATGAGCAGTCTCTTATTGAACTGACACTTGGAGAAGGAACTTATGAAGAGGTGGAGTGCATTTATTTGCATACAGATGTTGAGAGCTTACCAACAAATTTTTTTGAGATTCTTGTGTCTGGCTTCCTTGCATCTATCTGATGTGACCAATGGAAATTAATGTCTTATTGCGCTTATTTCTTGATCATCTATTTAACTCATCACCGATTCATGTTTGGAGGAATGGCTGAATAGAGTTCTTGATGACTTTTGGCAATTCTTCATGTTTTGCAAGTTGTAATCTAGCATGAGTATATGTCCCGTGTTATGGAGGTTAATGATAGACCTAATAGCATATCTTTCCTCGTAGCTAGGTTAAGTAGTAAAAGAAATGCATTTTTTCTCTTTCTTTTCCTATGTTCTAAGATGGTTGTATATTATGATGTCCTCTGCCACATTGTTTCCTCTTACAAATACCGAATTATATATAGCTAATTGTAAAAGAAATTGCAAGGTGTATGACTAGATCTTCACCTTGTTCTCTCTTCTCCTTTCATATGTTTAACATGTTTGCATATTGTGACGCTTTCTACCACAATGAGAATTCCTCTTACAAATACTGGATGATATATTGTGAATCGTCAACGAGTTAATGATGTTTTAATCAATGTTTTAAAAAATACCGATCTGGATTGGGAATTGGTGGCAACTGACCCGGTTTCCAATCGGAACCAGGAATCAGGTAGGTTCAATCACAATTGTCCGGTTCCTCGAGGGAACCAACCTTTTTTGTCAGGTTGGTTCCCATGATTTATATTTTTTTGTTATTTTCTCATTTATTTTTTTCTTTTTTTCTTTTTTTAACCGGTTCTTACCTGAGATAATCACTTGGATCACCGATCTGGACCTATTTCCTGCATGGCCTATTCATCCGGTCGATCTAGGTTTTAAAACACTAGTTTTAATAGATGTTTTCTCTGGCTGAGACTCTTAATATCCAAATATTTGAAAAAGGGGGACTTAATATAATATCATTATAAAGTAGGGTGTGAAGGAGGAGAGTCGATCTTGGGCACGTTGCAGCCTGCCTTGCATGGGTAGAGGACCAGCTTGAGCTTGACTTGAAGTACCTAGCTTGAGCTTGGATTGGCTTGGCTTGGCTTGAATTGTTTACTTAAACAAGCCTATAGATGAGTCGATTAAGCCATAAACAAGCTGAGCACAAGCTCAAAAATAATAAGTTTCCTATTTGACGTCAATATAATATAATGTATCATGTATATTTTTGTAATAGTACATATTAGAAATAATATATTAAACACACTCAGGCCAAGATCAAGCCGAGCTTGTCTCAGTTTAACTTTTATAAATGAGCTAATTGTCTAGGTTTGGCTTGTTGAGCCAAAAATGCTGTCAAGCTTGGCTCATCATGAGCCATGTTGAGCCAGCTTGTGAGCTGGTTGGTCTTGTTGACATCCCTATTAAAGAGTTTGTTTTTAAACAAAAATTTCCTTGGATTCTTTACTAAAATAGGAGATGTTCGTATTTTTCCTGCAGAAGATTTGTGCTACAATTTTCTTGGTTTTGTTGGTTATTTATTTTTTGATTGCTGCAAGAACTACTTCGTGAATGATCGAAGAGGGGTTCGTAAAAGTAGCTTACTAAAATTTGTGAGCATGCTTTCTTAACTTGAAATCAAACCAATGGGGGAAATTTAATATATGAAAAATCAAACTAGCATGACCCTTCAAGTCTTTAAAGTTCTCATGGAAGATTTCTCACCACCTGGTTGATGTCGTGCTTAGTGAGTGTTGATATGTATCATTTATCTATCACGTATAATTGTTGTTTGACCAATAAAAAAAATGTAACGGAAGTTTTCATTGCGATGAATTGTGTCTTGTTGAGTGAGTAGTAACAATTTGTTCTACCTCTGTTCTGTATGGAAGTGAGAACCTTTGGATATTCAATTATTGATCGCTTCTAATTAAGTGATAGATTTGGTTCATTCCAATATTGCAGGTCTTGGGGAGGGTAGATACCATAAGGAAGAAGGTTGTATCTGTTGGAAAAGAACAAGCTTCTTTGTGTGCAAAGGTATCAATTGCCGCGCATACCATACTTGTGCACATGACTTAAAAAATTTTGATGTCTGCAGTCAGTTTTTAGTTCTTGGAAATATCCATCATTACTTTCAGAGCCCTAAAGAGACCCATCTTTTTCTGAGTATAAACCCAAATCACTTTATGGGTTTCATGAAAGAAAGCCATTTTCTTCTAATTTTTTTATTTTTCTTCTCTTTTAAATCAAATTAAAGACTAGGGTATGGGAACTGGTGCATAATGGAAAAATATAGCACTCTCATGAAGTTTATGCCATACAAGACATAGGCCAGGAATCCACTGTCCATTCTCAAGATGGATAGTAGAGATGAACCATTGTACTTTCTAAATGTCCATCATATCCATTAAGCAGTTGATCTCCACTATCTGTCTCGAGAATGGATGTTGGATGTCCTGTATTATGTGTGTCCAATACTTTCTCATCCAAAATGGGGAGGGCCATGTGTCTTTTTTTATTTTCATTCATCTAGTGATGATTCCCAATGAAAAGAGGAAAAAAGGTGTGGTGGATGGTGAAACCCCTTAACAAAAGTCTCTCTTTCATAAAAGTGAATTTGTTTTCGACAGCAAAGGTTATGATCATATAACCACATATTTGTTTTGACAGTCATCATCGAAACGTGAAGCAGAAGATCGCTTGGGTGAGGTCAGGGCTTCTATTTTCATATAGTTTACTTTTATTCTTAGGTGCATTTGATGTTAATATCTATGACATGCGAACTTGTGTGGCTTTCACTCTCAGGGACTAAGAAGGATTGAAGAAATCTTTCAACGGGAAGGAAATGCTGTGGATGATCTAGTAAACGTTGCTAAGGTAATACACGAAGATAGTAAGTTCACTTGATTCCGACATGTGTAAAAATGTTCCCCTTGATTCTCTCTTGTTGTTTATGAGAAAAATATATGATAATCTAATTTCTCTTGTTTTATTGGATTTTGAGTTTTCCTCAAGGACTAAGTATGTACTGGTTAAATTTTATCTCATAGGCACTGCGTGTTATGCCAGTAGTAAACCCTGAAATCCCCACACTGTGTCTTGTTGGGTCGCCAAATGTGGGAAAATCGTCTTTGGTCCGTGTTCTTTCAACTGGAAGGCCAGAGGTACATGTGATCCCGGAAGATTGTCATGCTAAGAATGCTTCTCTTTTATTACCTTTTATTACTCTATGGTTTATTCTGAGAAAATGAAAAACTTTGTGGTTTGTGTGTCATTGGGTCCTCTTTTCCTCAGGTTTGCAACTATCCATTCACAACCAGAGGCATTCTGATGGGTCACATCGTTCTCAATTATGAGCAATTTCAGGTTCTCTCTTTCTGGTGTACTTTCGTTCTAAACCATTACATTTGGAAAATTTACTACAATCCGAGAGACAATGTAATACCATGTTCCATTGGTTGGTCATCACTCCCCAATGGAACGATAGCCTGCAATGGGGAGGGTGGGGACCCACCAAAACAGGACATGATGAGAAATAGTGGGTTCCGTCATCTCCCTCCGCACCATCACTGTTCATTTTCATTGGGATATGATGGATCCACTGCATTGTCGTTCTACCTAATCCATTGGATTTGTGTTCTTTCCTTGGTCTTTTGCGTCGTGCTTAGAGGGTAATTTTTTCCATTCCAGGTGACTGACACACCCGGCCTTTTGAAGAGACCTGAAGGTATATTAAGTACTGAGCTTATTCATGACATTAAATGTTCATGGCAAATTCTTTCAGCATCGGTTTGAAGTGTCTGAAAGTTCTCTGGTCCGTTGTGGTAAATGTTGTACCCAATTGCTTACTGATTTACTTTCCTACAAAAAGCAGACAGACTTGTTCATAAGTTATCTACCAATGATATTAGATTCACTTTGGAGGCCTTTTTGGTTTGGCTTAAAATGCTGAGAGCTTTGGTACTCCGGAGGAAGTTTTGGAGTATATTTAAGAAACTGCGAAAAATAAGAATTTTAAATAATATAAACACAATATTAAAAGATATGATAAAATTTAAAGCAAATTACCACGTCTATAAATTTTTTTAATGAAATTAATTTCTAATAATTTTTAACACCTTTTTACCCTTAAAAGTTTTACATCTTGATTTTAATAAAAGTGTGTGGTTTTATCCTACATGATATGGTCTTCTATCTTTAAAAATGGCTGTAGTAGAGAGGTATTTTCCTCTCCAAGAAAGAGGAAACCACATCTAGTGGTTGTTACATTCGACGCAAATCCTTTTCTGAGGATTAATGCAAAACCCATATGTACACATAACAGTTGCATTTAATGTGAAACTTTCTCCTATGCAGCTTTTCTTTAGATATATTTTAATGCGGTCAATGAAATTTTAAAAATGTCGTTTGCTTATCCATATTAATGTATTCCTGCAATCACACAAACTCTTTTGTCATGCAACTTAGAAAGGTAAAATGAAAAGTTCAAATATAAGTTGCTCTTTGCTTCACTTTGGTGAAGTTCCCTAACCTGAAGCTTCGGGCACTTTGCCCCAAGTGAAGCAAATTGGCAACATTGTAATTTGCATTGTCTCTGTTAGAACTTATGAGATGTAGCAGCATCTGATTATTACTGGTTGGTCTGCTCTTTGTGGGACGTAAGATGAAAGGAACAACCTGGAGAAGTTGACACTTGCTGTCCTCATGCATTTGCCAACAGCCGTTCTGTTTGTCCATGACCTATCTGGTGAATGTGGTAGCTCGCCCTCTGATCAGGTATACTCCATTTCCTACCGTCATATTTTATTTCTTTCCTTTTCTTGAAAGTTGTATTAAGTTTGCTCGTTGCCTGAAACTAGCAGCATTTAAATTGATATATTTGATAAGATGGTTTGGACTTCATTCCCTCTGGCTGATGCAATGAATTCAATATTCTTAATTGAATATCTGCCCCCTCTCAGTATAGTTGATAAGTTGGGTTGAATTCAACCACTGTAGTGAGATGAAGTGTTCCATATTGCTATCTCAATATTTATTCTCTCGCAATTGTTGCCTTTTGTTCGTTGCTATCTATACCATCTCAACATTTCACTGATCTGAGCTTCCTGATCTTTATATACATCGAAATTGAATTTGCCAGTACATGAAAACTCTGCTGTCTAACTCCGACTTGCCTGACTTAATCTGGTTTGGCAGGCTGCTGGGTCCAGAACCCGCATTTGGACTCTCTCGATTTACTTGGGCTCGGCAGGCTGCTGAGTCTGGAACCAAACCAACAATGGGAACTGGCCCAGTCTGGCTGGTTCGGGATATTTCTTTATTAATTTTTTAGGACTCTGCTGAGTCTCTGACAGACGGCTGTGTCTGTCATATCGGACTTGGGCTCAGGACACTAGTGTGTCCCCAGCTGAGTCCTTATTTTAAAACACCGTTAGTTCAAACCATGTAATAGACATTTCAGCAATCTAATTTTTGGCATTTTACTTTGCAGTTTGAAACATACAAAGAGATACGAGAAAGGTTCCCTGATCAGCTTTGGCTTGATGTTGTTTCTAAATGTGATCTTTTGCCTTATGACATCACATCAGAGAAAGGGAATATTGAGGATGATGAACTGGAGAGGTATAAGAGAGCTGGACCTGAAGGAGCCATCCATGTTTCAGTGATGAGTGGGATAGGGATTGACAAGGTTGGCATTCATCTGTGATTAAGACCTTTTCCATCTTTCTATTTAAATTTTGGTCCATTAAATTGCTCCAGGAAGAGAGAGAGAGGATGTTTGGATTATGTAGAAAGGGTTGATACTGATTGGTCTCTTACCAGATTCACCCATACCAATATTTCCTTTTTATTTGTGTTGCAGCTTAAGAGCAAAGTTCATGACCTCCTGTTATGTCAGTTGGCTCGAATCACTACTCAGAGAAACCAAGAAGGTTCGAATTCACTTCAGTGAATAATTTTTTGGAGGGACTCTCTCTCTCTCTCTATATATATATATATATATATATAACCTAAACCTAAATACAGTA